TTTGTCTTGGCTTGCATAGTTCAAGCGACGGGGTATCCACTGCAACTCGCAACCAGTGACAGAAGTTCAATCAAGACCTTAACCAGCTCTTGAACTAGTCTCCGCGCGTGTCCTAAGTACCCTATCCCGCCGGCGGGATATGTTATAAGATCGATTGTCTCGGGATCGGGCGGTGCGCTCCGGCCGCGGCGAGACGCAGCGCGGGACGGGCGGCGCGCGACGATCGGCGCCCAGCGTGGTACGACTGTAAGGTTACAAAGGGACGGTGCGCGGTCGATCGCTCGGGCTTCGGCGGCGAGACACGGCGCGGGGCGGGCGGCGGCGATCAGTCGGCGTAGATGGACGCGACGAGGTACTCGGGCTCGACGGAGCACTCCACGGGCACGCGCTTGCGGCCGATGAAGACGGTCATCCAGAGGATCGAGCAGGCGAGGTTGAACAAGGGGCGGCTTTTGAGGGGAACGGCGGCGAAGAGGACGAGCTGCGCCGGGATCCAAAAGGCCAGGGAGCTCGAGAAGACGTCGCGGAACTCTCCCACGTAGCGGCGGAACGTCTGCCGGAGGCACTTGCGCTCGCCGAGCGCCGCCGCGACGTAGTGCGCCGGGTAGGAGATGAGCGGGCCGTAGACGAGCAGATCCACGAGAAGCGACACCGGCGCCGCGCAGGCGCCGAAGGGCCCCGTGAGCGCGGGGAGCGCCCGTTTGTACCAGAAGAACTTCGCGATGCCTTGAAACGCCACGCCGTAGGCCGCGTGGACCAGCAGCCGCCTCCAGCAGAAGCCCGGCTCCTCGCAGGGCTCGAGCCAGGCCGGCGCCGTGTCCAGCGCCTGCGTCTGCAGGCCCGCGAGCTGGTCCCGCGCGTCGATGCCCAGCTGGACGCACCCGTTCAGAGCCGCGTTCGTGACGACGGGCGCCGCGAGCGCGTTGGTCACGACGGGCGCCGCCTCGCAGAGCGCGCTGGTCACGGCGGGCGCCGCCAGGGCCAGGCCCGTCAGGGTGAAGCCGCCGCGCGTCGTCAGAGCCTTCTTCGTGAAGCGGACGCCGCGGGGCCGCCGGACGGCCGCGGCCGCCGCGGTGCCCGCGAGGCGGCCCGGCCCGGACGCGACGGCCGGTGCGCAGAGCGCGAGGGCGACGGCGGCCCGCCGCGACACCGCGGGGGGCGCCGGGGGCTTCGCCTTCTTCTTCTTGCCGCTCTTCGGCGGCGCGGCCTTGGGTTTCGGCGTCGAGAGGTCGCCGGCGCTCGCGGCGACCGGCGCGGCCGCCGGCGCCGCCGCCGGCTGCGTGATGGGGTTCACGACGCCCGCGGCGATGGTGCCCCGGGCGCCGCGCGCCGCGCCCGTGCGCCAGGACCGGTAGTCGCGCCGGTACGCGGCCATGCGGCTTTGCAACGCGCCGACGTCGAGGTCGTGCGGCCGCCGGCACGTCGGGCACCGCTCGATGTTGAAGTGGGCGCACTTCTTCATGCAGCCCATGCAGAACGTATGATTGCAACCCAGAGTCACGCTCGAATCAAGGTCGACATCGGACAAGCAGACGACGCAGGTCGCCATGGTGAGTTCGGGAGTGAACAAGAAGTTCGGGGGCCGCCGGGGCGGCGCGGGAGCGGAGACCGGGCGCCGGCGGCGATCGCGGCGCAAAGGGCCGCTGTTTTGGCTGCTGCGAACCTCGAGGGATGCGGCGAGTGCGTACAAGATGATCAAGTTGTGATGTCTTGATCGGATTCGATGCTCTTGTCGCTCGGCAAAAAGTTGTCAAGGTGGTTCAATGTCAACGTCAACAGTCTGTGGCAATATGGCCAAGTATATGGCTTCCATGGGCAGCAACGGTGCCTAGCAGTAGCGGTAGCGACCTCTCCGGCAACACTAACAACGGCACCAACACCACCCACATCATCATCATCGCACCTCCACCCGATCCCGAGGCGATCGACCTTAGGCCGCGCCTAGTCCTCGTACTCCGACCCCGACTCGTCCTCCTCCTCCTCGTCGTCCTCGTCCTCGTCCTCGTCCTCGCCGAAGTGCTCGCCGACGTCGAGGCGGACGTCGTCCTCGGAGAGCTCGTCCTCGTCCTCGTAGGCCTCGTCCTCGTAGGCCTCGTCGTCGTAGGGCGTCGCGTAGTCCGACGGCTCGTCGTAGCCCGCGTAGGGGTCCTCCATGATGTCCTCGTCCTCGACGTCGTCGTAGTCGTCCGGGTAGGAGCGGAAGCCGTCGCCAAAGTACATGCCGTCCTCGTCGTAGTAGTCCTCGTCCTCGTCCTCGTAGGCGACGGGGTCGCCGACGAAGTCGCCCTGGAGGTCGTCGTAGTCCTCGTCCTCGCCCCCGAAGTCGAAGTCGCCGTCGAAGTCGCCCGCGAGCTCGTCGTCGTGCTCCGAGCCCTCGTCGTCGCTCTTCTCCCGGTCCTCCTTGTACTCCTCGTCGTCGCCCTCGACGTCGTCGGCGATCTCGTCCTCGAACTCGTCGTCGTCGTCGTCGTCGCCCTCGCCCGGCGCCTTCTTCTTGCGCTTCTTCAGGGGGCGGATGGGGTAGTAGTGCGCGATGACGTGCGCGAGGAAGTGGCGCGCGGAGATCTTGGAGATCTCGAGCTGGTGGAAGAAGCGCGGCTTCTCCAAAATCTCCTCCTCGAGGAAGTTCTTCGAGTCCGCCTCGGCCTGCCTCGACTCGACGATCTCGCGGTACTTGGCCGCCTTGTGGCAGCAGACGTGGCCGTCGGCGTCGGCGGACAGGAGGAAGTCGCCGGCGACGGCCATGGCCGTCACGGGCGCGCGGTGGACGACGCGCGCGTGCGAGTACTTTTGCGTCATCGCGGGCGCGCGGTGCGACCCCTGGCCCGCGGCGCCGAGCGCCTGGAACTGCGTGTTCCGCTCGTCGACGGGCTTCATCCAGGACACGATGGCCATGTCCGTGGCTGCCGAGAAGAGCACGCCGCCGGCCATGCAGAAGGACGTGATCGTCGACGAGTGGCAGTCCAATGTAAAAACGTAGTCGAGGCGCACGACCTCGCGGAGCATGGACGTCGCGCGGCCGTCGAGGCCGCCGCCCTTGCGCTTGAAGGCGTCGCCGGACTTGCCGTAGCCCAATCGTTCCAGCTCCTTGGCGGCCTGCTGGAGCGTGTCCATGTCCTCGGAGCCCGCGACGATCTTGAAGACGGCGATGCGGCCCGTCGCGCAGCCCGCGTAGACGCAGCGGTACTGGACGTCGAGGGCCGTCACGGGCTCGCGGCCCTCGAAGGCGAGCTTCTTGATCTTCGTCTCCCAGACGGCGCCCTGCATCCACTGCGACTTGAGCGAGAACGGGAGCACGCAGAGCGAGCCGTCGCCGAGGCCTGGGCAGGACAAGAGTGCGAAATTCCCAACTTCAAAGGCTCCTCTCTCGGCCGTTTTCCACTCGTTTCGGCTGATTTTTGGACGAGCGATCATCTCTCGGAACGGCCTCGAAGCGTGGGCGTTTGTTTCGGAACGCGCGCGCGCGGAACACTCACGTTGAAGCGACGTTGAATCACCCTTGTCCTGCCCTGGCCGAGGCCCGCGACGGCGTGGAGCCCCAGGTAGTCCTCGGGCACGCCGGGCTTCGTCGTGTTCAGGATCGCCAGGGACATGGCCTGGGCGCTGTAGGACACGGTCGCCGTCTGGAGCGCGTCCGTCGCGCGGAAGCGCCAGATCTTGATCGTGCCGTCCTCGGACACGGAGAAGACGTGGCGGTGCGCCACCACCAAGCGCGTCACGGCCGCCGCGTGGCCGAGCATGATGGACTCGCAGCGGAATTTGGTGCCCTTGAAGCCCCGCACCTTCTTGCCCTGGACCCAGCCCCGGATCTGCTCGCCCGCGGAGCTGAAGAAGCGCCGCCCGTCGGGCGTCATCGCGACGACCAGGCACGTGCCCAGGTCCTCCGTCATCTGCTGCGTCTTGTAGAAGGGCGAAAAGTGCCAGGGGTCCCGCGCCTCCTCCTTGCGCTCCTCCTCGCGCGCCGCCGCCCGCCAGTCGTCGCCGCCCTTCTTCTTCTTGTCCTTGCGCTTCTTCCACACCGTCACGTGGCGCCCGCCGTGCGCCGTGACGACGAGCTCGCCGTCCTTGCCGCCGACGGCGACGCAGGACACGGCGCGGTCCTTGCCCTCGGCGTGCTTCGTCGCCACGGGCAGCGTGCCCTCGTGCTTCATGGACCCCGCGAGCCAGGCCTTGCGCACGTGCTTGGACCGCTCGGCCTCGACGCGGTTCAGCAACGCCGCGAGGAACGTGACGTGGCGGTGGAGCTTCGGCCGCCGCTCCTGGAGCGACATGAGCAACCCCTTGGCCGCGAGGCGGTGCAGGACCTCCAGCTGCATCTGGGCCGAGAGGCGCTCCTCCTTGATGGACTTGATCAGGAGCCCGCACTCGAAGAACGACTCCTCGTCGAACTTCGAGAACTCGATCTGCTTCTGCCAGCGGTGGGCCTCGAGGGTCAGCGCCTGGCGCAGCCGGTAGCGGAAGACGTCGGGCCGCGCGCGCTGCATGAGCGCCAGATCCAGGACGGCCTGGGGCACGCGGTTGCCGTGCGAGTCCATCGCGCGCACCGCCGGCTCGCAGTAGCGGTTCACCGCCAGCCGCAGAATATCCAACTTCGCCTGGGCGTACTCGCGCCGTAACGTCAGCTCCACGTCGTCGGGCAAGGCCTGCAATTCCGGGAACATGACGACCTTGTGGACGGCCTTGAGCACGTGCGTGAACTCGAGGTAGCGCGGGAGCAAAGACGGCTGCCGCGCGGCGTCGTCGCCGTCCTTGCCCTCGGTCGTCGACCCGAGCTTGCCCCGACTATAGAAGGGCTTCTTCACCTCGTCCCAGCGCGCCTCCAAATCCGGCGTCCGCGACAGCACCTCGACCTCGAGCAGGAGCGGCATGGCCATGAGCACGCGCCGCGCGTGCCGGTCCGCCAACTGCTGCGGCGCGTCGCGGCTCAGCCCCAGCGGCGGGCTCAGGAGCCGCAGCAGCCGGCTCAGGTACTTCGTGCGGATGCGCCCGACGCCGAACTCGTCGAAATGCTGCCAGGCCTGGAGGAACTCGTCGACCTGCTGCATCGCGATCCACGGCTGCACGGGGCTCGTCGACTCGTACTTGTAGATGAAGATGAGCGTGCAGACGTTGAGGAAGAGGAAGCGCACGAGCAAAATGTAGGCGAACCAGAAGAGGCCCAGCAGCATGTGGTTCGACTCGGGCACGTCCTGCTTCATCGTGTCCTTGACCGCGACCCAGTTGTTCGACGTCGCCGCGATGAAGAGCGTGTTCATGGACTTGGAGATCGTCGAGAAGCGCACGCGCGTCACGTCCCAGTAGGACCCGAAGACGCGCGCCTCCGTGCCGTTGTCCGCGTGGTAGCGCTTCGAGATGTCCGTGTCGCCGAACGCGACCATGCCGATGACCGCGAACGCGAACGTGACGATGGTCATGAGCGCGACCATGGGCACCGTCGTGCCCAGGGCGCAGTTGAGCGCCTGCACGACCATGCGCAGCTCCACGAACTGGGGCACGATGAGGAACACCTGGGACGTGCGCATCGCGTAGATGCCGCGCTGGACCATCGTCTCGTCGAAGAACGGCATCTGCGTCCAGCCGTGGCTCATCTCCAGCGAGAAGTAGAGGGCCACGGGGATGAGCAGCACGAGGCGCATCTGCTCCGACGGCAAACTCAGGGTCGTGAACCAGCCGTAGACCAGGAACTTGGCCGCGAACTCGCCCAGCAGGATCGCGGAGACGACGTTGTCGATGGACCGCATCGTCCGCAGCTGGTGCGAGTTCGACGAGTCCTTGAGGTCCTTGCGCTGCTGCACCTTCGTCGAGAGGCGGATCTGGGACCCCGCCAAAATCCACCAGGCCCAGATATCCAGGAAGATGAGGCACGCGTAGACGACCTTGTAGTTCGGGTGGCGGAAGACGCGGAACATGAGCCGCGTGATCAGCAAATTGGACCGGGGCTCCTGGGGCTCCTGCGTGGCCTTGATGCAGCTCAGCTTGCTCTCGTAGACGGACCACTGGGCCTGCTTTAACGAGGCGAGCTTCCGCGTGCCCCGCGTCAATTGTAGATACGTGAACGTGCCGTAGATGACGCCGACGAAGAGGCACGTGATCAAAAACGACGAGCAGCCCGAGAGGATGAAGAAGATGACGGGCATGATCGTCGACGCCTGGGACTCGTGGTTGTAGAAGGGGCCGACGGTCTTCGCGTTGATCGTCTGGAGGATCAATTTGTGCCAGTCGTCGAACGTAAACATCAAAAACGCGCTCCGGATGGCCTCGAAGATGTTGTCGAAGTTGTACTCCGCGTTCTTGATGCCGAACCAGCCCGCGTAGGAGACGACGTCGCCGAACCTATTGTACTGGGGGAAGACCTGGTCGCGCTGCACGGAGCAGCCCCACGAGTTGTTCGCGAGCGGGCTGCTCCGCGGGTAGATGACGCGCTCCGGCGGCCAGCCCTTGTAGGAGTGCGTGAAGTTGGCCCAGACGGCGTCGTCGTCGCCCTCGGGCTCGTCGGGGTAGGCGTAGGCGCTGTCGTAGTACTGGAACTGCGGGTAGGGCCAGTGGCGGTACGACTTGCCGACGTGGCGGTCGCGGTCCGGCGAGAAGGGCTTCAGGAGCATGCCCTCGGGGTAGCGCGACGCCGAGCAGTAGTGGAGGTGGCCGCTGTAGAGCTGGAGCCCGACGATGGCGATGGTCGACCAGACGAAGGCGCCCAGGAGCCCCACGGCCGTGAGACCCTTCGACGAGTTCTCGAGCGCGCTCAGGATGGACATGACCGCGGGCGACGACCGCGCGAGCTTCTTCAGGGGGCGGATGATGCGGATCATGCGGAAGATGGCGAAGGGCGACAGCGAGGGCACGACCAGAGAGATGAGCGAGATGGCCGTGATCGTCGTGTCGAGCACGTTCATCGGATCGGACATGAACGACAGGAACCCCTCCGCGATGGTCATCACCAAAAACTCGGCGACGAAGACGACGCGGCAGCACGTGTTGATCAACGCCAGCAGCCAGTTCTCCGGCAGCGACACGAGCGTCGCGATGTTCGACTTGTCCTTGTCGCGCGCGTCCAAGTGCGTGTTCCGGTACTGGTAGAAGAGGGCTAACACGTAGACGGAGACCATGATCGTCGCGAAGACGAGATTCGTGAAGATCTCGCTGTAGGCGAGCCACTTGATGAACTTGCGGGGCTGCTTCTCCGGGTTGAAGATCATGTAGGACCGCTCGTTCGACATGAACCGCTGCCACGGCGTCAGCGGCGGCTCCGGGTCCGGCGCGAGGGAGATGTTGCCCTTGCCGCCGCCACTGCCCGTGGCATCACTATCAAACGCGGACCGCGACGCCGAGTACCAGCGCAGGAAGTTGAAGCGCAGGATCATGTGCATCAAGCCCCGCTCGAACTTGAAGATGGACACCATCGTCGTCTGCGCGGACTGCTTGATCACCAGGATCGAGTCGCGCTCGACCTGGTCGAAGATGACGGCGATGAGCATGGACAGGATCGCGTAGCGGCCCACGACGAACAATAAAATGAAGTAGATGGCCGTCACGGCGCCGCACGCGTCCATCGTCGCGTACATGATCTGGTTCCAGCCGTCCGCGGAAATAATGACAAAATTCGTCACGAAGGCCATGGTGAAGGTGTCGAAATTCAGGCGCCCCTTCTTCTCCCACTGCTCGCTGTAGTCGTTGAGCGCGTAGACCTCGCCGCCGAAGAACTGCATCGACACGATGGACCCCATGTAGACGCAGAGGAAGAGCAGGCCCAGCACGTTGACGACCCAGATCGCCGACGACGCGATGATGCCCATCAAGCGCGCGAAGTCGAGCTGGGACGCGCTCATGGACTTCTTGCGGTGGATCTTCGACACCGTCGCCATGCGGAGCACGCGCGCGATGCGGAACATGCGCACGACGCGCAGCAGCGAGAAGGTGGACCCCCCGCCGATGAGGCCCGCGGCGACGACGTCCATGAGCGACAGCACGCCCAGAAAGAAGTCGAAGCAGTTGTACGCGTCGTAGAAGTAGCCCGTGACGCCGAGCGCCGTCATCTTGATGCAGATCTCGAAGGCGAAGATGCCCACGAAGACCTCGTTGGCGACGTCGAGGGCGTGCTGGAGCTTCTTCATGTGGCGCTCGTCGGAGTGGAGCGGCTCGATGGCCATGCAGAGCAGGTTCAGGAAGATGCACAGGTAGATGAACGTGTTGAAGTAGCCCGTCTCCGGGCGCACGATGGACCGCAGGCTGTCGAAGAACTGGCCCCGGGGCACGCCCGGGAGATTCTCCAGGGGGTCCGACTCCTCGACGGCGTTGAGGTTCAGCGTCGCGCCCGCGTGGCCCTCGACGTAGGCCTTGACCGCGACGATGTCCTCCTCCTCCGCGGCGAGGATGTCGATCATGTGCTCCTCGAACTGGGTCATGGTCAGCATCTCGTCGCCCATGAACTGGGCCTTGGCCTCGTAGGCGATGCGGTTCTCCTCCTCGCGGATCGCCTTGCGCAGGTTGAAGCTCATGACCGCGGGGAAGAGGTTGATGAGGCAGATGTTCACGAAGCCGACGACGCCGTAGAAGAAGGGCCAGGTGTACTTGCCGACGCAGAGCTGGATGCTCCACATGGCGTCGTTCCAGTTCTCCATGTTCATGATGTCGAAGATCGTGAGGAGCGACCAGAACGTCTTGTCGAAGCGGAGGTACCAGACCGCGGAGATGTGGCGCGGCGCGATGTCGCCCATGAAGCCGTGGCGCAGCTCGCCGATCTTGCCCTTGTAGTCGTTCTGGCAGTTGTGCTCCGTGACGCCGTCGGGGTAGTTGACGCACGCCTCGTAGAAGTTCGACGGGAAGCGGCCGCTGTCGACGAACGTCTGCTTGCAGATCGTCGCGTTGTTCTCGTAGGGCTCGAAGACGCGGTTCGCCTGGCGGATGTCCTCGCCGCAGTTGGCGACGTCGTAGCGCAGGGAGATGTCCGCGTGCTGGGGCTCCGTGAGGTCCATGAGCCCCGCGTTCCGCGTGAGGTAGATGCCGCCGAGGCGCAGCTTCGGCTGGTAGATCTGGCCCGTGTCCGGGTCCGTCTGCTCTATCGTCGCGAGCTTCAGGTCGACGCAGTACTCGGCGATGTGCTTCACGGACCCGTCCTTGTTCTCGTAGTTCCACGACGACGGCGCGTAGTCCGTGCCGTTGAAGACGTAGTCGAGCGGGTTGCCGAAGAAGTCGGCGGGGATGTCCGGCTCCTCGCCCAGGAACGTCGACCGGATGTTGCGCGGGTCGCCGTAGCGCCGGAAGAAGTCGTCGCGGATGTTCCGGTCGCACTCCGTGTCCGGGTCGTCGCTGTAGCACGACGGGCACTTGTAGCACGTGTCGCAGTCGCCGCAGAAGGACGAGAAGTAGGGGAACTCCGTGTAGTGGGGGACGAGGTCGCGGCGGTAGTCCTGGTAGAAGCCCGAGATCGACTTCCAGTAGTTGCCCGAGAGCCAGCGGTCGCGCGCCTCCGTGAACTTCCAGCCCGCGCCTGGGCAGCAAAAGGGTGATTCAACGTCGCTTCAACGTGAGTGTTCCGCGCGCGCGCGTTCCGGAAAAAGCATCTACGCTTCGAGACCGTTCCGAGAGATGATCGCTCGTCCAAAAATCAGCCGAAACGAGTGGAAAACGGCCGAGATATGAGACTTTGAAGTTGGGAAATTCGCACCCTTTTGCTGCCCTGGCCGCCGCTCAACATATAGGAGTAGCGCTCGTAGTTCCGGTCGCTGTCGAAGTAGTTGGCGTGCGTCACGTTGAGCGGGTTGCCCCAGGGCAGGTTGCGCTGGACGACGAAGCAGGACACGGGCGTCTCCTGCCACTGCTCCATGGTACACGTGCCGCTGTAGGGGTACGCGAGATTCGCGTGCGGGTTCCCGTAGAAGAGGCCCCGCAGGGGGTCGTAGTAGGGGTCCGGCAGGCACCGGTAGTCCATGGCGTCCCGGAAGTACATCGTCGCGACGACCGCGAAGACGAAGACGGCCATCGCCGTGAGCACCATGATCGCGAGGAGCAGGTGGAACGAGCCGAAGAGCGACCCCACGAGCAGGCGCATCTCCGGGAACTTGCGCAGCGACTTCAGCGGCCGCAGCACGCGCATCATGCGCAGCGCCGAGATGTCGCCCATGGCCGCGAGCTTGTTGCCCTTGCGGCCGAAGATGTACGGGCACTCCGTCGTCATCGACAGCGTGCCCTGGCACACGACCACGAAGTCGAGCTGGTTCCACGTGTCCCGGAAGTAGGCGAACCCGTAGGCGACGAACTTGATGATGAACTCGAAGAGGAAGACGACGTTGAGGAAAAAGTCCGCCAGACAGAAGAAGTCGCCGGGGTCCGTCGCGTTGTTGACGATCTTCGGCGGGAAGGCCATGATGACGCAGTTGAACATGATCGCCAGCAGGATGAACGTGTCCAGCTCCTGCGAGTCCGCCAGGCGCCGGATGCGCGACTTGCGGCCCCGCGTCAGCTGCGCCATGGTCTAGCGGGGCAGCCCCCCGGGGCGAAGCTTTTTAGGCGCGATGCGTCGGGCCGCTAAGCTCGCTCGGCGGGTGCCCGCCGTGGCGCGCGCGCTCGGCGGGTGCCCGCGCGTTCACGTGCGATTTCCGCGGCGGAAGCGAGCGTCGGCCGGTGGAGCCCGCGCGCCGCACGCGGAGGCGGCCCAGTCTTTTTATAGACCTCGGTGACGGAGCCCGCGATTTCGATGATTTTTGTTTCCCTTGCAGTGAACCTGCACGGCAACCTCCGGAGTTTTACACGGGCTGCGATGGCTGGCGCCATGGAGAAGGCCATGCAGGCGGACTACGAGGCCCTCCAGCAGTCCATGCCGCTCTACGAGGCGCTCACGCTGTACCGACGCGGCGCCGCGCGGCCGACGATCGAGTGGCTGCCCTACCTCCCCCAGCACATGCCCGAGCGCGTCTCGGGCCTCGAGCGCGCCATCGAGCGGCTCGCGACGGAGACCTTGGACGAGGCGACGACGGCGACGCTCAGCGTCCTGTGACCGTGACAATTTTCGAGAGATTTGGGGTGGGAAAACAATGAGAAATCGTCACCGTCATGCTTGGTAGGCGAGTCTCTTCCGGCGCGTCTACGAGGGCATCTCGCGGCCCCTGCTGAACAAGGAGGACTGGACGCGCAACGTCGCGCGCGCGTCGTCGCGCGCGCACGGGAAGCGCGTCCGCGTCGTCGGCCTCGGCACGGGCCTGCCGGCCGTCGCGGCGGCGCGGGCCCGGGCCCGCGAGGTCGTCTGGACCGACGACGTCGAGGCCTTCCGCGCCGTCGCCGTGGAGATGGCCGAGGAGAACGGCGTCGGCGAGCGCGTGTCCGTGCAGCCGGACAAGAACGTCGCGAAGAAGTACGACGTCTTCGTCACGGAGCGCGTCTTCGACGACTGCTACAACCTCTTCTCCCCCTGCGTGTTCCGCGTCGGGCGCCTCGCGCGGTCGCGGAGCGCCCTCGTGCTGCCGTGCCTCGCGGAGGTCTGGGCCATGCCCGTCGAGGCGACGCTGCCCGAGGTCGGCGGCGTCGACCTCCGCGCCTTGGACGCGCGGCGCGTCGACGCGGCGTCGGGCTTCGCGAGCCGCTGCAAGCGGCGGCCCCTGGGCGAGGGCGTGTCCTTCACGGTGGACTTCGGCGCCGACGAGACCAAGGAGATGTGGGTCACGCTGAAGATGCCCCTGGCGACGGCGGGCCGGTGGAACGCGGTCCAGGTCTGGGCCGACGTCTGGTTCGACACGGAGAACTGGGTCTCCTTCCGGCCGCGGGCGCTCGAGGGGCCGGGCACGGGCCTCGCCAAGTGCGGCGACCAGCTCGGGACGCTGCTCTACTACGCGGCGGGCGAGCACAAGGTCACGCGGAAGAACGTCGTCACCGCGCGGTTCTGCCTCTGCCCGCGCGACGGCGCGCTGCGGCTCATCGAGACCTACGTGAGCGACGTCGCGACGCCGAGCCGGCCCTACGGGGGCCACGGCGCGTCCTTCCCCGGCTGGCACCTGCCCATGCTCGAGTGCGAGCGCCGCAACAAGGCGTTCGTGGAGGCGGTGCAGCGCGTCGTCCGGCGGCGCAAGGAGAAGGACTGCGTCGTCCTCGACGTCGGCGCGGGCACGGGCGTGCTGGCCCTCGTGGCGAAGAAGGCGAACCCGCGGGCGACGGTCGTCGCCGTCGAGGCCGACGGCGACATGGCGGACGTCGCGCGCGCGACGCTGGCGACGAACGGCGACGCGGCCCACGAGGTCAAGCTCGTCCACGCGCACTCGGCCGCGTGCCTCGTGGGCACGCAGATCCCCAAGAAGGCCGACGTCGTCATCGCCGAGGTCTTCGATTCGGGCCTGCTGGGGGAGAAGTGCCTGGAGACGCTCTCGGACGTCGGGCGGAGGCTCGCCAACAAGGGCGCGGACTTCATCCCGCGGGCGGCGACGCTCTGGCTCCTCCTGCTCGACGCCGTGCCCCGGGCGTCGACGGGCTTCTCGCTCGACGGGCTGGACAAGATCCCGCGCTTCGCGCTGACGCGCGACGCGACGCCCCTGAACGTGGACCTCTGCAAGGCGCGGAGCCTCGCGACGCACAAGCGGCTCCACCCGCCGGTGCGCATCTTCGACTTCGACTTCGCCAACGTCGGCGAGCTGACGCGGACGAAGGACCACGCCCTGAGCTTCACGGAGGAGGGCTGCTGCAACGGCTTCGCGCTCTACTTCGACCTCGACCTCGACGGCGAGACGCTGAGCACGGCGCCGGACGGGCCGCCGACGTGCTGGTTCCAGAGCCTGCGCTACTTCAGGGAGCCCATCAACGTCAAGCCGGGCACGACGGCGACGCTCCGCGCGGCGCACGCGGCGTCGTCCGTCGCGGCGGAGGTCGTCGACGTCGTCCCGCCCATCCCCGAGGGGCTCTCCGCGGACGCGCCCGACGGCGCCGACGCGGACGCGATACCGCCGCCGCCGGGGGAGAGCCCCTTAGGAGAGCCCAAATAGGGCCGCGGCGACCAGGGCGAGGGCGGGGAGGGCCGCCGCGCGGCCCGCGGAGATCGTCGCGTCGTCGTAGCACGCGTTGACCGCGTCGGCCGCGGGGAGCTCTTGTTCGGTGATGAAGTGGAACTTGCAGGTCGCCTACCAGGCACGTCGGTGACGGTTTTTCGTGGTTTTCCCCGTCAAAATCTCTCGAAATGGTCACGGCCGCAGGACGCTGCGGGTCGCCCGCTTGTCGTCGTTGGTCAGGGAGAAGAAGTAGCCCGCGGGGAGGTCGTACATGCAGCGGCCGTCGTATGTGTTCATCCGGTCGAGCGAGATCTCGGACTGGGACCAGGGCTCGGCGCCGGCGCGCAGCACGCAGGCGCCCGTGCCGCCGATCGTGAACATCTCGACGGCGCCGGCGACGACGTTGGAAAAGTCCAGCGAGAAGTCGTCGAAGCCGAAGATCTCGTTCCGCGTCTCCGCGATCTCGTCGACGAGGTAGAGCGTGTAGGACGTGCCCGGCGCCGCCTCGCCGATGGAGCAGGTGCGCACGGTCACCGCCGTCCCCTCCGCGGGGTCGATGGGGAAGTCGAGCGTCATGAACGCGTCGTCGTCGGTGAATGTGACTGGTACTGGCAGCCCGAGCAGCCCGTCGTCGTCCAGGACGGGTCCACGCGGTCGCAGGTCGCGCCCGCGTCGACGCGCGCCGCGGCGTAGGTGCCCCCCGTCGCGGAAAAGTAGGCGCGCGTCGCCGCGGCGCCCCAGGACCCGTCGAGGTTGTAGCCGACGCACGAATCCTCGGCGACGTCCGCGGTCGACTCCTCCCTCATGAGCCAGTCGCCCAGGTTGTCTTCGCAGCCTGCGCGGGGGCGGGATCGGGGACGGGCGTCGGTGGTGGGACGCGGCGCGCGCGCCGTCGGGCGCGTCGACGAAGGAGTAGGAATACGACTCGAAGTAGTCGTCGTCGTCGATGAACGAGGGCAAAAAGCCGTCCGCGGCCAGTGCCGGCGTCGCGTCGTCGTCGTAGCAGGGCACGGCCGCCTCGCAGGTCGAGTCCGCCAGGGCCGCAAAGCCGAAGCGCTCGATTAGGTAGGGCGCCTCCGCGTCCAAGACGCACAGGCCCCGGCAGCCCGCGTCGTGCACGATGAGTAACGTCGCGCCGTCGCCGCAGCTGAGGCACGCGTGCCACATGTCGTAATCGTCGGGCTGCGTGCCGTAGCCGCAGGTCGCGCAGGGCTGCGCGGCGCCGTGCAGGTCGTCCCAGTCGAGGGTCTGGTCGTCGTAGTCGTCGTCGTCGACGGTGCCGTCGAAGCAGCCGCTGCTGTGCCGGCCGAGGCCGTCGGCGCAGATCGCGGCGACGTCGTCGTTGACCGTCACCCATTTGCCGACGCGCGACGGGGCGTCTCTCGTCGCTTTCTTGCCGACGGCGTCGCTCGCGGCGTAGGCTGCCTCGTGGACGTCCGCGTCGTTGACCGTCACCCACTTGCCGACGCGCGAGGCGGCGTCTCTCGTCGCTTTCTTGCCGACGGCGTCGCTCGCGGCGTAGGCTGCCTCGTGGACGTCCGCGGCATTGGCCGCGGCTGCTAGGCAGAACAACACGAGGGCAGCCCGCATTGGCTCGGCAACTCTCTTCCGTTAATGACTGCACCTTACCCATCTCACAACGTTGCAGTTCTCTCACTGCGTATGCGCCGTCGAGCTCGCCTAGTCGCGCTTTGCAGCCGCACGCCTGCATGCGCCTAGTGCTCGTGCTCAGCTGCGTCGCCGCCCTGCGCGCCCCGCTGCCGTCGCCCGTGCGGCGCGCGGCGCTGCGGTCCAGCCGCGGCGCGACACCAACGACACCGACGCCCGCGCCGCTCCCGATGCGCGCCTTCGAGGCCGTCGGCGAGTCGACGCGCTTCGCCGTGTCCGGCGCCGTCGCGACGACGCTCCTCGCGCGGCGCGACGCGGAGACGCTGCTCTGGGTCCTCGGAGCGATTCTCGCCGCCGTCTGCAACAAGGTGCTGAAACGGATCATCAAGGAGGAGCGGCCCACGGAAGGCGACGACGGCGGCATGCCGTCGAGCCACGCGTGTTCCGTGCTCCACCTCGGCGTCGGCGCGGTCCTGCGCTTCCCCATGCCGCCCGGCCTGCCGGCGGCGCTCGCGGCCTACGGCCTCGTCTCGCTGGCCTGGCGCGTCCACGCGCGCTACCACACGACGGCCCAGGTCGTCGTCGGCGCCGCGTTCGGCGCGGCGACGGCCGTGTTGTTTCGCGCGGCGTCCCTGCGCCTCGAGCCCGCGCTGCCCGCGACGATCCCGCTGCCCTGGATCCTCTCGGTCTACGGCGTCGGCGCGGTGGTCGTCGGATCTTTGGAGCGGAGCAAGTGGCTCAAGAAGCTCGCGTGCGAGCGGAAGAAGGGCGCGAAGGATGCGTAATGCTCGTGGCTGGGTACGGCAACGAGGGGGCAACGTCTCATGCTTGAGGCCATCTTGCCTCTCGGTCCTGGCCCTGCGGTGACGCCGATCGTCGACGCCGCGCGTCGCGTCGCGCCGGAGCCATGTCCGCCGTCAAGGGCGCGTCCCTGGAGATGGCGGACCTGAAAGGCGACATGTCGAAGATGCAGATCGGCCTCGGCGCCGCGCTGAGCCAGGCGGCGGGCGAGGCCCACGCCGAGACGAGCGCCGCGGGGAGCCTCGCGCGGCGGCGGCGGCGCTTCGCGGTCATGGCCGTGCTCGGCGCCATCTCGCTGACGTTCCTCGCGGGCGTGAGCTCGCTGCGGCCGCGGCCGCCGCGGTCCGACGAGTACGCGAGCGACTGGCCGCTGCGCGAGGAGATCGTCGCCGCGACGGCGCGCGCGGGCGACGCGCTGCTGCCCGTCGCCGTCGCGCGGTCCGAGGTCGTGATGGACGGCGGCGTGCCCTTCGTCGTGTTGCTGGGCGACGCGGCGCGGAAGAGGGCGGCGGCGGCCGCCGCGGCCGACGACCCGTTCTCGCGCGACGCGCTGCGGAGCCACCCGGAGCTGCTCGTCCGGGAGACGGTCTTCGGCGACTACGCGCTCGTCCTGAACAAGTTCCCGGCCCTGCCGCACCACGCGCTGCTCATCACGAAGAACTTCTCGCCCCAGGCCTGGCGCCTCACGAAGCGGGACCTCGGCGCGCTCCACCGGTCCGCCGCGGCCGCGGACGCGTTGGGTTTCTACAACAGCGACGCCGTCGCCGGCGCGTCCCAGCCCCACCGCCACTTCCAGCTCGTCTTCAACGACGCCTTCGCCGACGTCCTGGGCGCCGGCGCATTGGCCGCGCCGCCGATCCAGGCGGCCGTCGACGCGCTCGGGAGCGAGCACTTCCTCTGGTCGACGAAGGCGCCCTTCGTGCCGCGCATCCGGCGCCTCGGCGCCCTCGCCGGCGTCGCCCACGGCCTCGTGCAGCTGCCGCGGCGCGCGACCTTCCCCGTCGACTTCGCCACGGACGGCGACTTCGACGACGCGCTGTTGCGCGCCTACGCGCACCTGCTGCGGGACCTCGACCTCTTCGAGCAGCCGCCCTACAACCTGCTCCTGTCGAAGTCCTGGCTCCTCGTCGTCAAGCGCCGGTCCCGCGACGGCGCGGGCGTCGACGTCAACGCGCTCGGCTACGCGGGGTGCCTGCTCGCGCGCGACGAATCTTCCTTCGCGCGCGTCGCCGCGGCGCCCCGCGCCGCGCTGGCCGCGGCGGCCGTGCCCAGCACCGGCTATTAATTTCTCTGTTTTAGTAGGACCCGCGCCGCGACGACCCCCGCGCGGGGCCCGAGTACGAGTGGCGCTTCTTCCGCGACTGGCGGACGTCGCTCCCCGGCGGCGGCGTCGGCGGCTCCTCGCTCAGGATGTTCGCGGAGGAGTGGCGATGGCCCCGCGCCGCGCGCTCCTGCTTGAGCTTCGTGAAGGCCTCGAGCCACCGGTTCGGCTTCTCCGCGGCGGGCGCGGGCTTGGGCTCCCGCTTCGCCAAAGCGTCGTCCGCGACGACGCGCGCGGCGCACGATACGGCGTCGACGAGGCCCCGGGCCCGCGCGCAGTCGAAGTCGTTGAAGGCGCCGACCTCGACGATGCGCGTCGTGCGCCGCTCGCCCTGGTCGCTCGCGCGGCCCGCGACGTGGAGCACCTCGCCCTCGCCGTCCTCCTTGCTGTGGTTGAAGAACTTGTTCGTGAAGAGCAGCACCCCCAGCTTCGTCCAGGGCTCGTCGTCGCAGGCCAGCCCCGTCGACGCCACGCGGTCCACGGCGACGGGGACGGCGAGGATCGTCTTCGTGCGGTAGCCCGTCGCCAGGTCGTCCGCGAGCGGCGGCGGGCACTCGTCGGAGTCGTAGACGTCGTCGACGCGGATCGTCTCCCAGTCCGACGCCGCCTCGCGCACGATGGACTCGGACCAGGCCGACGCGCGGTCCCCGTCGTCGATGGCCGCGTCGCCGACGACGTCGCGCCGCGACGCCGCGTCCCACGCGTAGACGAGGTCGCTGCCCGAGTATTTGTAGAAGCAGCAGCGGTCGACGCCCATCTCGACCTTGGCCACGGAGAGGACCGCGCCCAGCAGCCGGTCGAGGTGGAGCATCTTCGCGTCGACGTCGTCGTCGTCGATCGCGGCCTCGAGGGGCCGCGACGCGGCCGCGGCGGCCTTCCGGAACGCGGCGCGCCGCTCCGACTCGGGCGTGCGCCGGATCTGCCGCCGCGACGCGCCCGGCGACATGGGGTCCACGAATTCGACGTGGTCGTTGCGGTAGGCCTCGTGCGCGCCGTGGCCGTTGCCGTCGCTGCCGTCGAGCGAAAGCACGGGGTCGTCGCGGTCCGCCCACGGCGGCCGCGGGTACGCGCCGAAGTCGTCGCCGTAGGTCGCCGCGCTCCGCTTCAGCTTCTCGACGACCTTCTTCGCGCGCAGCTTCAGGCCCATGGCCGCCAGCGCGCCCGGGTCGTCCATGCCCAGCGGGAGCGGCCGCGGCCGCGCGGGCTGCCGCGCCGGCGGCGAGCTGCCCAGGTCGATGTGGCTGCTCGACCGCGTGCGGTCGCTCGACTTGCGCAGGCGCCGTTTCGCCTCCGACGCGGCGGCGTCCTCGTCCTTCGCCTCCGCGGGCGTCAGCGAGCTGCGCCGCTTCTCCTCGATCTTCTCGAGCAGCGTCTCGAGGCTGCCCATGCCCTCCGTGGACATCGCGCGCTTCGCCGACGCCGGCGACAGGATCTCCTTCATCTCCGCCTGCGCCGCGGCGTCGTCGGCGTCCGCGATCATCGCGCCGGAGGACCGACCGCGCCTCGAGGGCGGTGGCGTCCGACAACGCAGCAGAGGAAGGGCAGTGTAAAGCCAATTATGAATGGAGGGTCGATGATGTCGCGACGAACTGTGCATCCCCTTCAATAACTTGGTCAACTCAGAGTGGTGCTCTTTTGGTGCACTTTTGAAACCGGTGCGTCTCACACACACTGCGAGCATGTCTTGGCCGCTCGTGCGGTACAACACTGTGTACAAGCTGGAAGAGATCTCCGTCATCGGCACCATCATCCAGGTGCAGACCACGCTGAAAAAGAAACAGCGCAGCAAGTGGGAACGCGCGATCGAACCGAACGTGAGAATCGAGTATATCTACGAGGGCGTGCGGCTGCGCAGCGTCCTTCGCACAACACGCGTTCGCGCGTAGATCGTGCGATTTAGGCGACTTTCAAAGACTGGGTCTGGGACACTGATCTCTTCCTCGCGGACTCGGGCGGCGCGTTCCGCCTCGCGGACTACGAAGCGCTGCAGGCGCTGCAGCCGCGAAGCCGCGCTCCACCACCGCGGTTCGTCGAACGCGCCGAGGAGCCGTGCAGCGTCTGCAAGGGCGAGACCGCGAGCTGCAGCGAGACCGTGCTCATCTGCGACACGGCGAAGTGCGGAACGGAGACGCACCTGCGCTGCGCCGGCCTCGACGCCGTGCCCGAGGGCGACTGGTTCTGCGACGCCTGCTCCGCCAAAAATTGGAAGCGCAAGGCGTCGGGCGCGCCCGCGAAGCCGAAGCGGCCGCGGCTGACGGAGACGGCGGCCGCGGCGCCGAAGCACGCGAGCCCCGTCGTCTTGTCGCCAGCGGTCGTCTCGGCGGAGGTTTACGCTGCCTTCGCCGACGACGAGACGCTGCGCTGCCTCGTGCGGCAGCGGCGGCGCGTCGGGTCCAAGGCCGTGCGCGCGCGCGTCGCGGTGCAGCTCGGCGTCGACGAGGAGCTGCTCAAGGCCAAGGCGCTCAAGGCCGCGCTGCGCGACGCGTCGGCGCGCGCCGAGACGGCGACGCGCGCGGAGCTGCAAGCGCAGCCGCGGAAGCGGCGCAAGCGCGAGGTCGCCGCGGCCGCGGCCGCGCCGGCGCCGCCCGCGCCGGTCGCCTCGGTCGAGCCGTCGTCCGACGAGGACGAGCTCGTTTCGCCCATGCGCTCGCGGTCGACGGTCGGCCGAGGCGCGATCCACGAGAAGCTCGTCCCCGTGACGCCCGACGCCGCGCCGCTCGACTCGCTCCAGCGCCTCGCGCGGCCGCCCGCGTTGATCGACGTCACGGGGGGCGACGCGGACCCGAGCGAGGCCGACCCGGCGGAGGCCGCGGAGCCGGCGGAGGTCGAGGAGCCGGCGGAGGCCGAGGCGGAGGTCGAGGAGCCGGCGGAGGCCGCGGAGCCGGCCGCGCAGCCGGAGATGCGAGACCCGGCCGCGGCCGTCGCGGCCCTCGAGGCGTCGCTGCTGCGCGCGCTGCCGGAGCGCCGGGCCGCGTCGTTCGGGTGCGCGAGCGTCCGGAGGGGCCGCGTCTCGGAGCTCACGGAGCGCCGCGAGCCGCTGGTGCGCGAGCTCGCGGCATTCTATCGGCGTTTTCGGCCCCGGGGCCCCGGGTCCCGCCCCGGCACTGGAACCATCACGAGCATCTGGGTCAATCGGACCGACGATCCGCTGGGCCTCCACCGCGACGCGTCCAACTCGGGCCTCTCGTCCATCATGGCCTTCGGCGACTTCGCGTCCGGCGGCGAGCTCGAGATCGACGATGTCGGCGCGATCGACATCCGCCCCTTCCGCCGCGACGCCGCGGACCCGCTCTACGACTTCGACGCCGTCACGCGCGCGCACCGGCCCATGCCCTGGGACGGCGGGTCGCGCTGGACCGTGACCTTCTACTGCGTCCGGTCGCCGCGCCTCGACGCCGAGGACCGCGCCTACCTCGCGTCGCTCGGATTCCCGCTGCCGCGGGCCGAGGACGAGATCCGCGCGCGCGCCGCGGACATCGAGGCGCGCCACACGCGCGAATCGGACCGCAAGCTCCAGGAGGCCGCGGCGCTCCGGGCCCGCGTCGCCGCGCTCGAGCGCGAGGCGGCGGCGCTCCGGGCCTCCTAAAACTAAATTTCAAGTTACGAGTTAACGCACCCCCAGGGCTCAGGACTTCTTCTTGCCGCGGCGCGGGCGCCCGCGGCGCACGGAGGACCGGTTGTGCGCCGGCACGAGCATCTCGCGCTGCGCGGACTCGGCGAGGTTCGACGCGGGCGGCACGGGCCGCGGCAGGCCGAGCTTGAAGAAGCGGTCCCGGAGGTCCTTGCGGAACTTCTCCGTCTCCGCGACGTGGTCCCGGTCGACGTCCTTCTTCGACGTCGCGTACCAGAGGCTCAGGTGGCCGATGGTCGGCACGCCCGCGTGGTTCTGGCCGTCGTAGGTCGCGCCGTCCCAGGACGCGGGCAGCGTCCAGCCCGGCACGGGCTCGCGGTCCTGGCGCGGCACGAAGACGGGGTCCTTGAAGTTCTCGCCGTGGTCGTGGACGTTGCACCGCGCGAGCACGCCGACCATGCGCCGCTCGTCGGGGTAGCGTAGGTCGAGGTCGTAGAGGTCGTCGACGTGGAGCGGGTCGCAGACGTTGAGGCACCCGAGGCGCCGCACGAGCCGCTTCCACGTCTCGTCGCCCAGGTTGCAGGGCGTCGCGCGGCACATGGTGCGGAAGTGCTCGACGTCGTCGACCTTGTTCACGAGGCAGGCGATGACCTCCTCGCGGTAGACGACCACGTGGTGCGTCCGCGTGTCGTCGCCGCCGTCGCCGCCCGCCGCGTCGCCCGATTTCGCCGTGGGCGCCATGGGCGTCGCGCCGCGCGCGTGGACCTTGGGCATGACCGGCGCGGCCTTGGCGTGGCCCTCGCGCGCGAGCTGCAGGAACCGGTGCTCGCGGATGCCGTTCGCCGGGAACAGCGCGGCGACGAGCGCCAGTTGGCGGCTGCTCATGGTCTCGTTGCCGAAGCGGCACCGCAGCTCGCTCAGCAGCTGGGGCAGCGACGGCGGCGGCACGGGCACGTCGTCGGCGCGCGCGCGCTCGACGAAGTGCCACTCGTCGCGCAGGGTTAAAGTCGTCGCCGCGCTCAGCGAGTTGCCGCCCGCGAACGCGAGCTCGCTGTGCATGCGGTAGGACTCGATGCCCCGCGCGTCGCCCTCGCCGCAGGTCGACATGGACCTGAAGCCCGTCGCCTGGGACCCGTCGTCGCCGTCGCCGCCGTCGTCGCTGTCGTACTCGTCGTCGTCGTCGAAGTCGCTGTCGAACATGTCGCTCTCGTCGCTCTCGTCGCTCTCGGCCGCGGCCTCGAAGGCCTCGCCCGGGTTCGCCGCGCGCGCGGCGCGCTCGAGGCACTCCTCGATGCGCGTCTCCGTCATCGACGGCTTGAAGTTGACGTGGCAGTCGTAGAAGTCGTAGACCGCGCGCGTCTCGACGCCCGGGAACTGGTGCGGGAACTCGGGCGCGAGGTCCGTCTCCACGGACGACTGGTGCACGAGGTGGGAGCTCTTCAGGCGGAGCTTCAGCGGCGCCAGGATGCGCTGCTGGACGATGATGAGCGCCGCGTGGCTCGGCGGGATCGCGGGCTTGATCGCGGCGCCGTGCTGGATGAGGGGCAGCGTCGCGCCGAGCCACGTGCGCACGGCCGTCGCGTTCGCGTGCCACTCGTTGGCGGCGTCGGCGCTCCGGTCCGGGCCCGCCGGGTTCTTGCGCGTCGACACGAGGACCTTGCGGCCGCCGCGCGACAGGACGCGGACCTTGACGACGTGGACGACGCGGACGACCGTCGTCGAGTCCTTGACCATGAGGCAGGCCTCCTTCTTGGAGATGGCGTTCCAGAGCGCCTCGACGGCGCCCGCCGTCCAGCCGCCGACGATCGTCGCGCCGACGCGCTCGTCGAGCACGGCCTTGAGCCGCGCGGCCGGCGACTCGTCGTCCTCGGAGCTCAGGGACTCGTCGTTCGAGTCGTCGTCGTCGTCGTCGTCGTCGTCGTCGTCGCCGCCCCGCGACATGGTCGTGATGGCGCCCAGGTCGCCGAAGAGCGCGCCCTTGTCCATGGTCGGCGCGCGGGCCATGGCCAGCTCCTCGAGCTGCGTCGCGCGCGTCTTCGGCTTTTGCGGCTGCTGGACGACCGTGGCCCGGGGCTTGTCGAGGGCGGACATGACCTCCGTGAAGCGCCCCCGCTTGCCGCCCGTGCGCGGGTCCGCCGCGGGCTCGACGAGGCCGAGCTGGTGGTTCCGCAGGAATTCGGCCTTGGCGCCCGACACGGGCGCGAGGTCCGCGACGCCGCGCGGCTCGCGCATGAAGCGGTTGATGGACGCGAGGATGAGGGCGATGTTCGTCGAGTTGTTCTTGGCCATCATCTGCTGGGGCGTCTGCTGCGCCTTCTTGGGCAGGTCCACGAAGGCCATGACGTTGTTGCGGTCGTGCGCGTTGATGTAGACGTCGCGGTGCGAGTCGAGCGTCGCGGGCTCGTCGTTGAAGAAGCGGCCGTCGATGACGGCGGCGCGCGCCCGATAGAAGGTGTTGACGAGGTCCGCGGGCTGGCCCAGGCCGATGTTCGTGCGGTGGCGCCGCCGCTTGTCCGCCGGGTCGCCGGCCTTGTCGCCGGCGCCCTTCGGCGGCTCGTCGTTCGCCGGGTCGAGGTAGAGGTGCGCCTGCTTGTCGCTGAGCGTGATGCACTTGAGCGGGAGGCCGCACTCGTCGAGCGTGCGCTCGAACTCGGCGTCGGTCATGACCTTGGACCCCTGCTCCACGGGGAGGATGGAGCTGTAGTCGAACTCGAACGTGCCGCGGGGCTTCTCCGCGAGGACGACGTTCGCGAAGAAGTCGTCGCCGATGGCGCCGCAGAGGGGCTTGCGCCCGTAGGTCGCGTTGCGGAAGGCGCCGACGCCGTAGCGCTGGGCCGTGCCCTCGGTGAAGTAGAGGCTCTTGCAGATCTTCCGCGCGTTCCGCGGGTCGATCGACTCCTCCGCGAAGCCGCCGATGAAGGGCGCGCCCTCCGGGCCGCTGTCGCCGAGGCTCGTGCGGCAGGCGCCGCGCACGAAGACGCGCTCCTTGAAGCTGTGGGCCGCGAGGCGCATGGCGCAGACGCGGTCCTTCTCCCGCGCGAGGTCCAGCACGTAGTGGCCGTTGAAGCTGTTGAACAACGGCGGCAAAAAGTTCCCGAGCTTGCGGTGGAGCTCGCGCCGCTGCTTGAGCGACAGGTTCGCGTCGACGAGCGCCTCGACGCAGTTGTTGTCGATGACGCGCGGGAGGAGCATCTCGAAGAGCGCGACGACGTTCATGTTGCCGTCCTCGACTCTCACGCCGCCCGCGAGCTCCTGGATGAGCTCCTGCACCTGGCGGCAGAGGAAGCGGTGGTCCATGGTCAGGGCGCGGATCACGTCGAGGTGCTCCATGCCGTGGTTCTCGCGGATGAAGCGCAACAGCTCGTCCATGCCCTCCCGCGTCAGCAACTCGAGCTGCGAGCTCAGGCGCGGCACGAGCTTCACCTCGACGCGCAGGCAGCCCTCCGCGGGGAGCTGGTACTTGACCTGGCACTCCGCGCGCTGGCTCAGGTCGACGACGGCGTGGGCCTCGAGCGCCTCGATGGCCTCCTCGCGCGCGTACTGCGCGAACGGCGCGTCGGAGCCGTCGACGGGCACGGGCAGCCGCCGCTTGGAGTCCTCGGCCTTGCCCATGACCTTGAGCATCTTCATGAGGCGCATGGCCTTGTTCTTCGCCTTCTCCACCTTCGCGGCCCGCAGCTGGCGGGCCTTGCGCAGCTCCTGGAACTGCGCCAAGCCCGGCATCGCGAACGCGTGCGACTCGCGGCGGTGGAACGCGCCGTGGTCCTCCTCCGCGAGGTCCAGGAACTCCTTGGCCGCGTCCTCGGCGGGCTCGGCGCCGACCTTGGGCGGGATGCCGTTGAGGCCCCACTGGGGCGCGGGCCGCAGCGCGCCGAGCTTCAGCGGCCGGAACGAGTCCTCGGCGCGGCTCTCGACGGGCGCCTCGCTGTAGGACACGCGCGCGAGCCGCACGCCCGGCCGCCGGGCGCACAATTCAAAAATCTCGTCGGCGACGGCGCGGTGGTAGGGCTTCGCCAGCTCGAGCTGGTAGTAGCCCTTGGGCATCTCCGGGTCGAAGGGCGCGCGGTCGACGTCGCGCGGCGGCACCTTTTGGAGGAATTCCTGGGCCTTGCGCTCCAGGGTCTCCGCCGCCGTCTCCGTGCGCTCCTGCGTCGTCTTCTCCAGCACCTCGTAGGGGATGCCCACGCTGTACGCGAGCGCCGCGGCGCGGAGCGGCTCGCTGTCGCCCTCGCCGACCTCCATCGCGTTTGCGTCGGGCTCGCCGTAGAGCTCCTGCTTGTGGCGCTGGTGGAAGCAGCCCTCGAGGCTAATTCGCGGCTTGTTCATGAAGAAGTTGAAGGACCGCGCGATGGCGCGCACGCCGTCGAAGCCCAGCGGGTTCGTGTCGAGCACGAGCGCGCGGAGATTCGTGTTCTCGCGGAGCGCGTGGCTGAAGACGACGGCGGCCTTGGGGCCCACGTTGTTGCCCGACACGTCGAGGTGCTCGAGGATGTCGTTGAACTTGAGCGCCGCGGCGATCTGCTGCGCGCCGCTGTCCTCGAGCGCGTTGAACGCGAGCGACAAAAACGTGAGGCCGTCGTTGCCCGCGAGCGCGTCGCCCAGCAGCGCCGCGTCGCGGCCGCTGATGCGGTTCCAGGACAGGTCCAGGTGCGTGAGCGTCGTGTTGCGCACGAGCATGGCGCCGAGCTCGAGGCAGCCCGAGCCCTGCTGCTGCGCCCTTTTGGCCTGCTCCGTGAGCCCCGCGACGAGCGACGCCTGCTCCTTCGCCTTGGCGAGGTCGCCGAAGCCGCCGCCGCCGGAGTCGCGCAGGCGCCGGCTCGAGAACTCGTTGCGCTCCTTGGCCACGAGGCGGCTCTCGGACACGGAGCCGCGCCGCGACGACCCGCGCGCCGCGAGGACCGGTTTCCCGGCGATGGGCGTGGCCTTGACCTTGACCATCTTCGTCGCGTAGCCCGACGCGCCGTAGAGCTCGTTGGCGCCGCCGATGCCGTTGCCCCGGAGATCCAGCGTGCGCAGCGTCCGGTTCGTCTTCACGGAGTCCATGACGGACGCGAGCTCCGAATCGTCGAAGTCCGCGTGCGCCACCCTGAGTTCCACCAAACCGCAGACCTTGCGCTTGATGAAGCTCGACAGCTGGGCCGCGGACCGCCAGTCCAGATCGTTCTGCGAGAGGTCCAGCGTCTTGAGCTTGGGCCCCATCTTCTCGAGCGCGCGGAAGAGCGGGCCGATCGTGACCTGCGCGGAACTCGAATCCTCGACCCGACTTCAATGTGAGCGTATGCGACAATTTCGACGCAAGTTCTTTTGCCGTGCTTCGAGGACTCTACGAGAGCGATCAATTCCTTCAAAAACCAGCCGAATCGACTTCGGTTTGACCGAGCTCGAGAGGTTTGAAGTTTGGCCGGAATAAACCGAACCAGCGGTCGATTTCCGCGCCGATCGCGACGTCCGTCCACCGGTTGTCCGCTAAAAGCAGCTCCCCGAGCTCCGGCAGCTTGGGCAGGACCTTGACGAGCACCTCGCCGACGCCGTCGCCGAGGCCCCGGTGGCTCAGGTTCAGCGTCGTCGTGAGGTCCCGCCGCAGGAGCACGCATTCCGGCGGCAGGTCGCGCATGCGCACCAATTCGATGAGGAACTGGTGCCGCGGGCTCGCCGGGTCCGCGAAGATGCCCGGGTCCCGGTCGTCGTCGTCGTCGGAGTCGTCGAGCTCCGGGACGTAGTCCACGGGGCCCACCATCTTGAGTTCGTCGAGCGACGTCACCATCGCCGCCTGCTTCGACAACGCGCGGAACGCCGCGGCGAACCTGCGCGGAACTCACATCTTCAAGCCGACTTCAATATGCGCGTCATCGAAACGGTTCACCGCCTCTTCGGCCGTGCTTCGAGAACTCGCTGAGAGCCATCGATTCATCCAAAAATCAGCCAAATCGACGTCGATGTGACCGAGCTCGAGAATGTCAAAGTTTGGTCGGGACGTGCCGAACCGGCGGTTGATGTCCACGCCGCGGCGAACCTCGCGCGCGCGTCGTCGCCGAAGTACTTGGCCTCCTCGTCCTTGGACAGGTTCGCCACGGACGGCGTCTCCGACAGGGCCTCGCCCTCGGGCGGCGCGTCGACGAGCGACGCGGCCGTCGGCAGGCTCTCGGCCTCGAACGACGGCTCCGCGGTGCCGGGCGCGGGCGCGATCTCGGACGACGCCGCCTCGTCGGCCTCGGCGTCCCGGGCGATCTGCGCGAGGCCCATGACGCGCCCGAGGCTCGACGTGGCGAGCGAGCGCCGCTCCGCGGCCGCGTCGACGGGCGCCGCGACGGAGAAGCTGCCCAAAAACGCGACGGCGCACTTCTTCGACCGCGCGCCGGGCCGGCCCCGCTTGCCGTAGAGCGTGCGCATGTTCGCGTCCTGCGTGCGCTGCTTCAGGTAGGGCGGCGGGTACTCGTCCATCTCCATGTCGTCGAGGTAGTCAAAGTCCTCGCGCCGGTCCGTCTTCTGCAGCAGAGGCGCGAGCCGCGCCTCGGACCACGACTCCTGGAAGAGGCCCTCCTCGCCGGTCATGACCGTCGCGCCGTCGAAGGTGCGGTCGTCGCTGGCGAGGCTCGCGCCGCCGGGCGAGGAGGGCTCGCCGAAGGAGCGAGCGCGCGCGCGGCCCGCGGCCGGCGAGCCCGGCGGCGGCGCCGTCGACGGCCGCGCGCTCGCCGACCGCAGCAGCGACGAGCCGCCCAGACTCCGCGCGCGCTGCGACGCGCCGTCGCGGTCGAGCATGGCCCGGCGCGGCGACGCGCGCAGCTCCTCCTCGACGTGGAGCTTCTTCTTCGGCTCGTGCTTCGCGTCCTTGGCGAGCTTCATGCGCTGGATCTTGTCGATGAAGCCGATTTTTCCTTCTTGGAGCGACGCGTGCTTGACGATCTCCTTGCGGTTGCGCCGCACGCCGACCTCGAACTCCTTGCGCGAGCTCTCGAGGTCCAGCGTCATGACGGTGCTCAGCGACTGGACGTACTCGAGCTGCGCGTCGAGCAGCGCCTCGGCCTCGTCGTCCTCGACGGCCTCCGCCGAGGCGAGGGACCAGGAGCTCTCCTCGAACTCGCGGCCCTTGGCCGCGTTGGCGAGCTTCTCCTTCTGGTAGCGGATCGTGTCGCGCGACGCGCGCTTCTGGTGGTGGCTCGCCTTGCCGACGTGGATGGCGCCCCGGCTGCTCGCCGCGACGTGCTCGTAGGACCGCGACGCCTTGCGGATGTTGCGCAGCGCCTTGCGGCCCGCGGGCTCGGGCGCCTGCCGGACGACGCTGCGCCGGTTCGTCGGCGCCTCGCTGCCCGTCGACAGGTCGTCGCGCCCGAGCTGCGAGCTCCGCCGCCGACCCGCGAGGTTCGCGCTCGTCTTCGACCGCACGCTCGCGCGCTGGTCCAGGTGGCCCTCCTCGATGAGGTCCGCGAGGTCCGACAGCATGACGGCGGATTAGGGCTGCCTCATCGTGCTTCGCGCTGGCGTTGGAGAGGTAGATGCTGCAGGGCTTGCTTCTAATGTTGAACTAAAGCGCTTATCACTGGCAGGCGCTCCTCCCGGGCGCGACCGCGTGCGGTTTATGGGCGAAAACCAACAGCGACCTCTCTCACGTCAGGTCGATGATGTCGTCGTCCTCGGAGATCGGCCGCGGCGGCGGCCGCCGCGCGGCGGGCCGCGGAGCCGGCGCAGGAGCCGGCGGAGCTGGGGCAGCCGCAGGAACCGTGCCGGCCGTGTAGCTCGCCTTTGCGGCGGACTCAAGCCCTCGCCAGAGCTCGCCGAGCTTCGCGCCGAGCTCGCCGAAAGAGAGGCCGGGGAACTCGCGCTTGACCTTGGGCCGCATCTCCTTGGAGAAGAGCATGAAGCCTTTGAGCGGCTTGTCTGCGGGCGGCGGCGCGGCGACCGCCGCCGCGACCCGCGCAGGGAGCCGAGAGGCCGGCTTTTTGGTGACCGCGCGCGCCGGCGCGCCGTTGGAGTCCTCGACGAGAAGCGCCGCCGGGCGGCCGCGGCCCTCAGCGAGCGTGAGCCGCGCGCGCTTTGGGTCGGGCTCGTCGTCCGGCGGCGCGCGCGCGTCGGTCCGCGCGAGGGCCTCGAGGACGAGGGCGCCGGGCTTTTTCGCGCCGCGGGCGCCCGCGGCGACGCGCGCAAGAAATGCGCGGAGCTGGGGCACGTCCGTGTCCGCCGCGGATTCGAAGGTCGACGGCGGCCCGTCTCCCGTCTTTACGTTCTCCAGTTTCTGACAGTCGACCGCGGACGCAACGAAGACGGGAAAGTCGAAGGCCCCGCCGGAATTCACCGGCAGCTCGCGCCAGGGCACGCCCTCCCAGAAGGTCTCCGCCGCGCGGGCCCGCGAGAAGGCCGCGCGCGCCGTCGCCGCGTCGAGGCGCGACGTCGCCTCGGGGAGCCGGAGGCTCTCGACAATCTCCGACCGGTTCACCAGATCGTTCTGCGTCGCGACGAGGGCGACGGCGCCGAGGGCCCCGCTCGCCGCGAGGTCGCGGCGCAGGGACAGGGGCAGCGCGTCGGAGATGGACTTGTCGTTGACCGCGCGCCGCACGTTCGACGCGAAGAGCACCGTGTCCGCCGTCGCGAGCGCGCCGCGGACCGCGCGCGACCGCGCCTCGTTGTCGTCCAAGACGCCGGGCGCGTCGACGAGGCGCAGGCCGCCGAGGCACGCCCAGGGCCCGCGCACGGTGACGCGTTTGACGAGGGGCCAGAGCTGGAGCGCGGACGCGTCGTTCGCCGAGTCGACGTAGGGGTCCAGCTTGTCCCGGAGTTCGTCCGCGTCTCTCGCGCCGAAGCAGATCATGGTCCCCAGCCGCTCGTGCTCGAGGGGCGCCGGCCACGCCGCGTCCGCGCCGTGCGTCGCGACCGCGGCCGCGCGCGCGGCGCCCGCGGCCGAGTCCGCCGGCGGAACCGCGGCGCCGTGTTGTTCGCGGTGCGCCGCGAGGGGCGCGAGCGCCGCGGCCCACTCGTCGCGGCTCAGGAACGCGACCTCGACCTCGTAGGGCGCGCCGCGCGGCGCGGCGTAGAGGCACTCGAGCGCGACGACGGAGGCCGTGCAGGCGCGCATGCAGTTCGTCGGCAGGACCTCGGCCTCGCCGACGAGCGCGTTGAGCAGCGACGACTTGCCCGCGCCCGTGGACCCGACGACGACGACCTCGTGGAGCGTCTCGGGCTTCGGGGGCAGCGCGTCGTCGAAGCCCGGCACCGCGCGGCGGCAGAGGTTCCGCGCGGCGCGGAGCGCGTCCTTCGAGTCGCAGCGGAGCGCGTCGAGCTCGTCGTCGTCGAGCGACGCGAGCACCTCGCCGTCGAGCTCGGGCAGGAGCGGCGCCGCGGCGCCCCAGGCCGCGAGGCCCCGGTCGAGCGCCGCCGCCGACGGCCAGCGGCGCGGCGGGCCGGGCGCCCGGAGCCGGAGCGCGAGCTTCCGCGCCGCGAGCCGCGGGCGCGATTCGCGGCCCTGGAAGAGCACGTCGCAGAGCTCGTCTTCGCCCATGGACCGCAGCGCCTCGCCGTCGATGGCCTCCTCGCGCGTGCGCGCCGCGGCCACCTCGCTGAACGGCGACGCCTCGAGCTCGGCGGCGATCCACGCCGCCGCGTCGTCGGGGCACGGCGCGCGCGCCGGCGCGGCCGGCGGCGGCGGCGGGTGCGCGTAGGGCGCCATCTTCAGGCCCTCGAATTCGGGGAGCGGCGACGGCGTCCCGAAGCGCGCGAAACCCGAAAGAGTGGCACGCGTGAGCGAGGTGATGGGGCTTTGGACCTTGTTCTGGACATTGCGGTAGAGCGCACCGACGGTCCGTTTCGCAAGAGCGTCGAGGCAGGGCCGCGCCGTCGTTTCCGGCAGGCCGGCGCAGACGAGCGCGTGGAGCCGCCCGATGGCGTGGATGCCCGTCCCGCATACCGACGCGCACCCATGGCGACACCCAAAGACGAGATCGGGACGGCTGTGGCCCCTCGTGCAATTTGATTTTGCTAAAGTGACGCACTGGACCTCGGAGAATTCCGACTCGAGCTTGCGGCGCCAGCTCCCGGCGTCGGCCTCGTACTTGGCGGCCGTCAACGCGCACGCGGCCTCGCCGCAGCGCCGGCCGCTCGCCACGAGCATCGCATGCAACCACCGTATGTCGGGGATCTGCTTGCGGTATTCGCGCTGGAGGCGCTCGTAGTGCGCCCGGAAAGCTTTGTCGAACTCCGCATCCGCGCGAGTAAATCCATGCGTAAACGAGGAGCTAAGCGACGAAGGACTCTGCGATGGCCACGACAACACGAGCTCCATCGGTCGAGGAGCCGCCTTGAGCTTCGCCCGAGCATCCTCGGTCTTGAGGCCCGCGAAGTCGTCGCCGCCAATGCTAACGACGCGCATGCCGGAGCAGACGCCGGCCGCGGTCGCGTCGCGGGCAGTCGCGGTAGTGACCTTGAGGCCCTTTTCGCTGGAGCCGTACGACGAGTACCGGTACGTGGACCCGGACTCGTTCGTGAAGCTGATGCCAACGTCGGCAGCCTCGACAACGAAGGACACCATGGCCCCCTGAGGACGCGCGACTTCGTCTCGCACAAAGGCCAGCAGCGCGTCGTCCGAGCCGTGCGCGATGAGCACACGGGCCGCGCGCTTCCGGGCACGGACACCGTCGAGCGACGCGAGACACAGGGCCACCGCGAGGTCCGGGCGGAGGACCGCGACGCAATCGACGAACGTCTCTGGCGCGCCCGCGAGGACCCCGCCGAGCGGCTGGGCTGCGATCGCGTCAAGCACGGAGTTGCAGAGCGAAGCGGCCACACCGCGCCGCGTCACCTCGTCGAGCGCCAAGTCGAAGAGCGCGCCGCGCAAAGACGGCGCTTTCGGCCCCGCGCAACTCGAAAACGCCTCGACCGCGAGACATCGGTCCGCCGGCAGCCAGCCGTCGGCGATGCCCGCGCGGACGGCCGCCGCGCCAGCTTTGACGTCGTGGGCGAGGAGCGCGGCGGCGCCGCGCGTCGCGGCGGCGACGGTCTCCGCGCCGCGGTCGAGCTCGAGAGCGACGCGGGCCACGACCGGCCACCGGTCCCAGAGCTTGGCCTCGGCGACCGCGTCGAGCCCCCGCTTCGCCGCCGCCGCGGCGCCGGCGCCGGCGTCCTCCGCGGCGATCGCCCGCAGCGTCGCCGCGGCGCGGTCGAGGGTCCCGGCGGACGGCGGCGACGCCCGCGTCAGCCACGCCTCGACGGCCGCGATGGCCGCCTTGCGCACCGCGGGGAGCGCGTCGTCGGGCGCCGCTTCGTGGTGCGCGACCTCGAGCGCGAAGTCGACGTAGTCCATGCAGTGCGACAGCTTCTCCGCGCCGTCCAGCGCGCAGACGCCGGCCACGGTCGCCCACTCGTCGAGCCAGCCCCGCGCCAGGAGCTCGCGGATGTTCGACCGGACGGGTTCAACGTCGTCGGTGAGCCGCAGCCGCGTCAGGCGCGCGGCGAGCTTCGCGGCCGCAGCGTTCACCGCGGCGAGGAGCACCGGCTTCGACTCCGGCGCCGCCATCGCCTCGACCAAGTCATCGGCAGGAAACGCGACCGTCTCGCGGAGCGGCAAGAGTTTCGCGAAGAGGCTTGGCCGACCCGCCTTGGCCAGCTCCGCGGCCCGATCGGTCAATTCGTTGAGCCGAATGTCGGTCTCATCGTCGAGCGCACGCGCGATTGGGGACTGGTCCGTGACGGCCCTGGGGCAGGTCCAGGTCCCAGGACCGACCTTGACGGGCTTACCGGCCGGTTTGATGATCTTCGTGCGCCGATATCGGACGTGAGCCTCGACCAGGCCGCCCGCGACGCCCACGAGCAGCGCCTCGCGCACGTTCGCCGGAAGAGATTCGGCGCGCTCCAGGAGCACGCCAACCGTCTCCTCAAGCCGCTCACCGACGAACTCGACCGCGTCGGGCATTGGATTCTCATCCACCGCGCAATTGCATTCGATCTCTCGCTCGTTTTCACAGTCCCCATAACAATCCCAGTCACCGCAAGGGCACTCGCCGCGACCGTACGGCTCTGGTTCGCAGCCGCAGTCCTCGCCGTTGACCCAGTTCTCGCGAGTGTACTTCACCTCCCGCTCCTTCTCGTGGAACTTCTCCTCGGCGACCTGAAAGTGCGCCGCGACCGTCTTCGCTGCGCGCTCCTCCTGCGCGACGATCGCCGGATCGTCGTTGGGCGCCGTCGCGTCGATGACGACCGCGTCGAGGTCGCGGACGTAGGAAGACCCAGGCGACGCGGCCGCGCTCGTCGCCTCGGCGAGGAGGCGCGGTAGCGCCTTGTCGAGGCCCGAACCGCTTGTCGCCGGCGAGAAAGCGAGGTCAATCGCGGCGGCTCGGACGTCGGGTAGAGCCAAGAGCCCGCTCCGCAGCGCGTCTATTTCGACGGCCTCCGTCGCGAGTTTGGAGAACGCGAGGGCCGCCGGCGTCAGGAGGGGCTGGTTCCACTCAGAGTCGTCTTCGCTCCAAGACCGGGTCGGGTCGAGGCGCACGCCCTCGCCGTCGCGTGCGGCCGCGAAGGCGACGTCGGTGCTGCTCAAGTACGACTCGCCGGTCTCGCCGGGCTTCCGCACGACGCGCCCGAAGACGACGCCGCGCGCCGCGTCGTAGAACACGGGCGACGCGAGCTTGAAGCAGACCACCTTCTTGGGAGGCGCGGGTTTCGGTTGCTGCTCGGTGCGCACGACCGAGGCGATCGCGGCCGGTAGCGCGAGCTTCTCGACGGCGGCCGCGTCCACGAGCAGGGACGCGGTCGCGGGCGCCGCGGTCGAGATCGCCGCCTTGAGGCACTCGTAGGCCGACGTCGTCCCCGCGGCGGCCGTCGCGACGGCGTGGAGGAGCACGTCGGCGACGGCCTGGGGCGCGAGCTTGGCGGCGTCCGCGGCGACGTCCTGCACGCGAGCGACGTCGTCGGGCGTTTTGGCGGCGACGCGGAGCAGCTGCAGCGCGGGGATCGAGTCCGCGAGCCCGACGCCCGCACCCCAGCTCGCGCGGCCCTTGGTGCCGCGGCACGACGCCCGCAGGACGACGGCGTCGCCGGCCGCGCGGACCTCCAAGGTCACGATGACCTGCCTGGCGCCGCGGGAGACGACGCCGCTCAGGGAATCGCCGTCCCAGCGCACGGACGACACGGACGCGCGTTTCGTCGCCGCGCCGACGAGGAGCCGCTTGACGAATTTGGCCCCCCGCGTCTCGGCCTTTGGCGCCGCGGAGCTCCGCTGGTCGTCGCCGCCCTCCTCGTCGCCGCTCGCCTCATAGGGCGAGTCCTCGGTCTCAGATTCGAGTTCCTCCGCGACGAGCGCGGACGTGGCGCAGGGGTCGTCGTCAAAGTCGCCGACAGAGTCGTCGTCGTCCTCCTCCTCCGCGGCCTCGGGCGCGCGCGGCGAGCCCGCGTCCAGGAACGCCGCGACGGCGGCGTCGACGCCCGCGCGCGGCGCGGCCGACGCCTTGGACAAGGCGCCGGCGAGGCCCAACGCCCGGGCGACGCGGGCCTCGTCGCTCGTGGCGCCGACGTCGCGGATCGCCCAGGCGCGTCCGACGACTTCGACGCACGTCGCGCCGCCGCCGCGCCAGCGCACCGCGAGGCGCTTGCCGTCCTCGGTGTAGGTCAGCGACGCGACCTCGAGGCCCTTCGTCAGGCGCAGCGCGTCGACCGCGTCGACCGCGAGGGGCGCTTCCGCCGCCGCCGGGGCCGCCGCCACCGTGCCCTGCGAGTCCAGCGGGCGCTCGATTTCCTCCTCCATGGGGCTCGGCGCGGCGGCCGCCGCCACCGTGCCCTGCGAGTCCATCGGGCGCTCGACCTCCTCCTCCTCCTCCATGGGGCTCGGCGCGGCCGCCGGCGCCGCCTCGGCGTCCGTCGGTTCCGCGGCCGCCGGCGTCGCCTCCTCTTCCATGGGGCTCAGCGCGGCCGCCGGCGCCGCCTCGGCATCCGTCGGTTCCGCGGCCGCCGGCGTCGCCTCCTCCTCCATGGGGCTCGGCGCGGCCGCCGGCGCCGCTTCGGCGTCCGTCGGTTCCGCGGCCGCCGGCGTCGCCGGCGCGCCGCGCGCGGCGTCGAGCTCGGCCCGGAGCCGCGCGATCTCGCTGAGCGCCGCCGCCAGGTCCATATCTGGGGCTTCTTCGTCGACGAGCGTGAACGCCTCGTCGTCGCTGACGAGGCGGCCCGCGCCCTCGCGCAAGACGCGGTCGCCCCGCAGCACGATCGCGTCGCCGGGCGAGACCTCGGCGGACTCGCCCTGCGCGAGCCGCAGGACGGTGCCGCTGCGGATAAGGCAAGTCGGATTGACGCGGCCGCGCGAGATGACGCGCAGGCCGCCGGCGCCGTCGCGCACGAGCAGGGCCTGCTGCCGCGATACGAGCGGCGACATGACGCCGAGGCTCAGGCCGCCGCCCTCGCGCCCGAGCATGACCTCGCCGTCCGGCAAAGGCGTGACAACGCCGCCGACGCTCCGCAGCGCCAGGGCGCGCTTCGGCCGCGGGTGCGGCGTCTGCGGAGCGAGTTGGAGCTCCATTGCGATTTGAGCAGCCTCCCAACGATTTTGGTAAAGGTGTCGGCAAGTTGAAGGCCGCGAGACGCGGATCCACATTATTATTATATTAAGATCCACACGTGATCCCACTGCAGCACGCGACGAGCGCCCCTAAAACCTTACTTCGCCGCGAAGGCCGCCAGCGTCGCCGTGTTCGCCGGGCCCTTGGCGCCCTTCTTGCGCTTCGTGTTGACCTCGCAGCCGAGCTCCTTGAAGCGCGCGGCGAGCGTCTTCACGGGCGTCTTGAGCTCCGCGGAGACCGCGTCCATGTCCGCCGTGCCGCCCTCGGCCTTGAGCATGGCGAGGAGGATGTGGGAGAGGAGCTTGGCCTTGAGCGCGGGCGTCTTGACGTACTTGACGCTCGCGCCGTTCTCCGAGGCCTGCGCGTAGGCGCCGTAGAGGTGGCGCGCGACGTCCTCGGGGACGAGCTTCGACATCTTCATGTCGGCGAGCTTGAGCGTGCCGTGGCCGTCCAGCGCGTGGAAGAGGAGCATGTGGCGGAGCAGGATCAGAAGGTTCGACAGCCGGCCGTCGCCGGGGCCGAGCTTCGCGAGGCGCGCGCGCACGTAGGGCGACCAGTCCGCGGGCACCCAACTCTTCAGCTTCTGCTCGGCCTGGACGTCGAGGCGGAACGCGCGCTGCTTGACGATGGCCGCGGTGACCGCCTCGTCGCCGAAGAGGGCCGCGTAGTCCTCGCGCGGCGCCTCGGCCGCGGGCGCGGGCGCGGCGGCGGCGGCGGCCTCGGCGGCCTCGGCGAGGCCCGCGACCGTCGACGAGAGCTCGTCGCCGGCGAAGACGGAGCCCGCGTCGACCATGTTCGCGACGCGCGCGCGTAGCTGCTTCTGCTTCTTCTTCGTCCCGAAGGCGTCCGCGAGCGCGATGTTGCGCTCGAGCCAGGACTTGTCCCGATCGGCGACGTCGTCACCGCCCTCGACGCGGCACTTGGGCGTCGCGGCGACGGCGTAGGCCTCGCAGGCCTCGAACGTGACCTCGCCGCTACTCTTGTCGTAGACGCCGAGCGCCCACCGCGCGGCGCCGGGCAGCTCGGCGACCTCGCCCCGGTAGCGCATGACGCTCGTCGCGCCGACGAGGGCGCCGTCGCCGGCCTCGTCGCGCAGCTCGACGCCGTCCATGCCCTCGTAGGTCAGGACCGTGTGCATGAGCTTGTGGGTCCCGGACCCGGCCCGGACCTTGGCGTGCTTGGGCATTTTTCGTCGGCGGCGCGGCTGGGGGCCGGCGGGGGTTTCACGAGTGCGCGGCTGGCGCGGCGGGCGCGGGCGACGACGGCGCGCGGCCGGCGCAGGACGTCCTGGGACGACGCGGCTCCAGGGCGGCGGCTCTCCAAAGTCAACATGCTCGCCGGCGCGATGATGCCGCCTGAGTGCAGTGCATAGGCCGTCGATAAGAGCATGGCCGACGACGACACGGACCTCGCGAAGCTCTTCGCGAACGTAAAAAAACGCAAATCGAACGCGCTCGTAAGCGCCGACAGCGACGCGCCCGGCGTCGCGCCGAAGCGCTACGCCCCGGTGGAGGAGGACTACGTCGTGGGCATCGTCGAGGACCGGGGCGCCGAGGCCTACCGCGTGGACCTGCTCGGCGCGTCCGTGCCCGGCAACCTCGGCGCCCTCGCCTTCGACGGCGCGACGAAGCGTAATCGGCCGCAGCTCGCGATCGGCGACGCCGTCTTCTGCCGCGTCGAGCGGACGACGCGCGGCGGCGAGGCGCAGCTCAGCTGCTGCGCGACGCGCGGCTCCAAGAAGGAGTGGATGACGGGCGCCGCGACCTTCGGCAAGCTCGCGGCGGGCGCCGCGTGCGCGGTGGCGAGCGTGTCGCCGGCGTTCGCGCGGCGGCTGCTCGCGCGCGACGCGCCCGTGCTCGCGGCCCTCGGCAAGCACGTGAAGTACGAGGTCGCCATCGGCCACAACGGCGCCGTCTGGATCCGCTCGGGCAACACGCTCGACACGATCATCGTCTCGAACGCGGTCGAGAACGCGGAGCACCTCGACGAGGCCCAGGTCGCGCCCATGGTCGACCAGATCGTCGCGGGCATGCACGCGCGCACGACGCTGCTCGTCCACGGGCTCTCCTAAGCTCGGTTTTGCGGCGCCCCGGTGGTTGTCGTCGAGGTTCAACGTCGCAACTTGCAAGGCTCTTGCAGTAGGAGTTGCAGTGCGCCGAGGAGAGCGGGGGGTCTGGCGAGTTCGACCACCTCCGATGCTGCGCCCGTCGCTCCTCCGGACGGCCGCGCGCCGCGCCGGCCACCCGCGGCAACGGCGGTCCTACGCCCTGGCGGCGTCGCCGCGGTGCCTCCCGGCGACGCCCAGCGACCGCCGCGGTCCGACGTCGTCGAGCAGCGCCTACTGCCGCTACGGCACGTCGCGCGGCCTGAGCTCGCGGGCGAAGCGCGACTACTACGAGGTGCTGGGCCTGAGCAAGGGCGCGAGCGACGCGGAGGTGAAGAAGGCCTACCGCCAGCTCGCGAAGAAGCACCACCCGGACACGAACCAGGGCGATCCCGACGCGACGAAGAAGTTCCAGGAGGCGTCCGAGGCCTACGAGGTGCTGAGCGACGCGGAGAAGCGGCGCGGCTACGACATGTACGGCCACGCGGCCCAGGACTTTGGCGGCGGCGGGCCCGGCGGGCCCGGCGGCGACCCGTTCGAGTCGTTCCGCCGCGGCTTCGGGGGCGGCCAGGGCGGCCCGTTCGGCGGCGGCGGCGGCTTCGGCGGCCAGCCGGGCAACGAGCAGTTCGAGGACCTGCTGAACGAGTTCTTCGGCGGCGGCGGCCGGCGGCGCCGGGGCCCGCGGCGCGGCGCGGACCTGCAGCTCGCGCTGCGGCTGTCGTTCATGGAGGCGGCGCGCGGCGTCGAGAGCAAGGCCATCGAGTGGCACGACGTCGGCCGCGACGGCCGCCGCGGCGACCGGCGCTCCGTCGACGTCGCCGTGCCGCCGGGCGTCGACACGGGCATGCAGATCCGCCTCTCGGGCAAGGGCGGCGCGGGCGACGCGGGCGCGCCCGCCGGCGACCTCTTCGTGCAGATCGAGGTCGAGCCGGACCCCTACTTCGACCGTGACGGCGCCGACGTCCACGTGGACCTCGAGCTCGACTTCGCCGACGCGGCGCTCGGCGCGACGAAGGACGTGCTCACGCTCGACGGCATCGTCGAGATCAAGATCCCGCCGGGCACGCAGCCGGACACGAAGCTCCGGCTCCGGGGCAAGGGGCTGCCCGTCATGAACAGCCGGGGCCGCGGCAACCAGATCGTCCGCGTCCACCTCGCCGTGCCCCAGGCCCTCTCCCCGAAGCAGCGGGAGCTCCTCGAGGCGTTCCGCGCGGACGCGGGCGAGCCGAAGACGACCGCGCAGGCCGCGCTCGACCGCCTCCGCGCCTTCTTCAGCGGCTGACATTTTCGAACAGAAACGCGCGCTTTAAAGACTACGACGTGGGTCATCAGGGGGCAAACGAGCTATCATTTTGTCGCACGCCGACTCGAACTCGTCTGCGAATTGTTCAATAGTGAGGGCTCCGGACCTGAACGCATCGACGGCATCGTGCATGGCAGTGGCTTCGGCGGCGACGTCCCCGCCGGTCGTCGAGCGGGCCTCGGAGTGCACGTGGTGCCAGCAGATGGCCTCGCACTCTTCACGATGCCCGCCGCGCCAATGCGCCTTTTGGCAATCGCGCGAACCTGCGATGGATCCGGCGTCCGGTAGCAAAGCGAGAGAAGGGACGCGGCGTTCGCACAGTATTTGTGGAACTCGCAGGCACCGCAGACCTGGAACCGCGGCTGCGCGACAGAGCCGACGCCACCGCAGTACGCGCATGTACGGCGGCGCTCGGCGCGTCGGACGCGCGGGTCGGCTTCGAAGAGCTCGACGAATTCGAGGAAATCGCCCCGCGAGCGCGCAAGTTCGAGCGGGGTTGTGTAACTTCCGCTAAGCCAGGCTGTGGGGTCCGCCCCCGCGGCGAGGAGCAGCTGCGCGACACCGAGGTAGTCACCGTCCCGCTCTCGAAGGTGAGGCCACTGGAGCGTGACCCCCAGGGCGGTCTGTCCACCAACGATCTGATCGGGCTCAGCACCCACGCGAAGAAAAAGCTCGACGAGGCGGCGGCGACCGATCGCCGCCGCCGCAACCAACGGGCTCCACTCCTCGATTTCGCAAGACGGGTCCGGGGCGTTCTCGGGATTGTTGCTCAGAAGAAGCTGACAGCCCTCCATAGCCACCTCACGAAAGCGCTGATCGGTAAACTGAGCTCCACGTGTTAAAAACTCGAACATGTCGTCCGCTCTGCCGCTTATACCCTGAGCGACCGCAAGGTCCCCTCGGGGATCCACAAAAGACTTCACCTGCGCGCGGCGCGGCGTGCCGCTCGGCGGCGCGTCCATCTACGTGACGCACCAAAAAATTTGCATGGGAGAGTTCGGCACGAGAGAACTTCCGGCCGCGGGCGCGGGGAGGGGCCTCGCAGCCCGGCGCCATGCTCGGCCCCAGCTGTGGGCTTCAACGTTGGCCTCACACAAACCGGGGCGCGAAGCATGGCTCTCAGTTTTTGCTCGACGCGAGCCACGACAACTGGCATCGCTGCAGTTCGCCACCTCACCACGGTAAAAAACGTGCTCACGGCGCCCAACGAGGCCGCCCTCCGCGCCTGGGCGACGGCCAACAAGGCGGCGGCCGTACGCGCCGTGTCGCCGCCGCCGGCGCACAGCGCCGTGCTGCCGCGCCATCTCGAGAGCCTCGACGCCTACCTCGCGGCGCGCGGCTGGGACGTGGGCGCCGCGCCCGAGGCCCGCGCGCTCGCGAGCCAGGCGCTGACGTACCCGCTGACGATCGCGCGGCACGCGGCGGCGCTCGGCCTCGGCGAGACCGCGACGGTCGCGGTCGTCGGCGCGCGCGGCGAGGCGTCGCTGCCGAGCTCCGGCTGGGCCGAGCTGCTGTTCGCCGCGCCGGACGTGCGGCGCTGGCGCCTCCACTTCGTCGGCCCCGAGGTGCGGCCGGACCGGCGCGGCGCCGGCGGCGTCGTCGCGCGGCGCGGCCCGCGGTCGCTCGCGATCACCGCGGCCAAGTCCATGGTCGCGACCGTCGCGGACCTGCGGCGGCCCGCGGACGACGACGACGACGTCAGCGACGGCGCGCCGGACGCGGTCGTCCTGTTCAATCCGGGCTACGGCCACCACTCGCTCAAGGCCGGGTGGGCCGCGGCGCTCGACGCCGTCGCGGCGTCGCGGGCGCCGGCGCTCTTCACGGCGCACAGCGCCGCGGACCTCGACCGGGATCTGGCGGCCCTCGACGCGCGCGGCCGCGGCCGCGCGTTCCTCGCGGCGCCGGCGTGAAC